ATACACAATTCAAACATTAAGTTATGATGGGATCTCACCTTTGCTGCTCTCCTGTTTAATATGCAATTATAAAAAAAATTATTAAGACATTGAATCCCTTTCTGTCATGAAGCTTTATAACTGATTTGCTGTACTAATCAAGTGAAACCAATTTTGGACTTGAGGGTGACACATCACAAATAAAAAGACATGCTGAAGGGAAGAGAACAGCATACCCCTCCTCTCCCTTTTCATCAGCTGAGCTAGGGTACAGTACAAACAATACTGACCTTTGCCATTCAGTTCTGGTAATTTATCCAGCCGTACTGCAGGCAACGGCAACACAGCCCTGCCCCAGAGAGCTTATGCTTAAAAGGTTGCTCTCTGCTTCCAGAAACGGGAGCAATAGCTAAAGGAGAGTTTCTCCTATGAGTACAGGTATTAAGTATCGTTAGCCACCTCAGACAAGCTGAGCTTTATTTATTTACTCATTTAGTTGCTGACATTGCTCAGACTACCCCAGCCACATTACCCCAGGTGTAATTCGAGCGAGGCTACACCTTGGCTGAATTTGGCTCCTTCTGTACATTCTTGAGGGGGTGATTTGAACTGCAGCATCAATTCAGCAATCAGGGTTCAAGCAGCTGTTAGCAACTTTCTGAGCAAGCACCGGTAGCCTGGAGGTAAAAGCAATACAGAGTAGCAACTTCTAAATGTCCCATCTAATTGAGCAGGAATAATGAAAACAAAGAATTAAAAAAACCCAAGCCCTCCAGCATGTAAACAAATAGTTCAGATGCAGCCATTCCTCATACCAACAACATGCTACCATCGGAACAGCTCCGCGCTAATCTCCTTTTGTGCAAACGCTTCTGAACTCTTCCCTTGCCCCGGAATGCAATGTCAGTGCTTGCCTGCTGTTTTCACCTGGAATCCCCAAACAGCTGTAGTTGTCCTGACCTATTCGTCCCCCAGCATCTTTTGCAGGCATGAGGGCTTGAGCTTGTGGTCAGATGTCAGTTGGCTGGAAGGGACTGGGGGGGAGACGAATACAGAGTTTGTGGGAAGCCGTGAGTTTGGATGGAAGGGTTGAAAAATGAGACCGTTTTTCTTGGTTCGCATTTGACTTTGCCTGTATCCAGCTGGGGACCTGTGACCCCAGGATTAGCTCCTGTACCCGCCAGGGACTCGGAAAGGCAGGGAAGAGGGACTGGCAGGAGTCTGTGGGGCACCAGAATCCTTTCATAAGCCAGAGACTCATTGGGGGCTAAAACCTTACCCTCCCACCGGGAGAATATTACACATCCTTACTCCTCTGGCGCTTAGGCATCCTTCTCTGATGTCTAGCTTGAATTAGTCTATGGCCAATTTATTGCTGTTTATTCATGTATGCCAATGCAGGCTTTTCTGCTTTGTCTCTGTCCTAGGTATTCAGCCCTCTCTTCCCTCTTACTATCCCTCTGATGCACACACATGGAAATCACATGCTTTGCAACTCCTCATTTCTTTAAAGTAGCCAACTGTGTTCAGTTGCCTCTTGTCATGTCAAGTGTTCAGCACATCCTTGTAGCCCTTTTTTCATCGGTTCCAGGCCAAATTCCTGTCTTGACCCTTGGTGATGAGAGTGCTACATGCTAAACCAGACAGCACAGGGGGAAGGAGAAGGTCTTTCCAATGCCTCATATTAGCATGCATGTATCCCAGTCTCACTGGAATACACAGGCATGCAGTATTTGCAGACAGACATGGGCATGAGCACTGTGCAGAGTGTGAACAGTGGGATAGATATGTGTGGGATAAGCCTGGAAGGATGGGCTGCATGGGAATAGTGAGCTGGATGGTCCCAAACATGAGTCATGGTCTGCACACGTGCAAATTGCGGTGAAGGCAGACACAGTTCATCTAGCATATCCCAGACGGGACACAGTGAGACACAGAAAGGACATGTCTCAGGAAGCTTATCATAAGGATAGGATAGGTATCCCTACTGGTAATGAAAGTCCTCACTAATGAACCACTGCCTTGTGGGGGGATTTGTCTTCAATTCAAGTAGCCCTTTCCACTAAGTTTGCATGGAGTGCATACTGGCAAATCACCTCCCTTGCATCCAGCGGAGCTGCATTTCAGCCTTGCTGGAAAGCACGTAAAATGCTTGGGGCTGGTAAGCGTCACAGAAACCCAAGAGGATGGGTCACTTAAGCTTGCACTGAAGATAAGGCAAGCTGATAGGGGCACGAGCATTTGCTATTGGTAACTCGTGTAGCTTTTGGAGTCCGGCAGAGGACTCTTAATGCAAAAAGAGCGCTGCTGTGGCACTGGCTTCCGGCCAGCCGTACTGCAAATGTCTGAAGGCCCCGAATCCGTCTGGAGCTGGATACTTGGTGCGTGTACGCACATGCCCTCTCCCTCCCTGGCCGCCAAGCAGAAAATACCGGCGCTCCAAGAGCTACCAGGCTTATCTGATGTGGGAGGAGGGCCACGGGTTGGCTATTTATATCCAGGTATTTGAGGACTTTGAAGTTGTAATATAGAGTCCTCATGGGGAAAAGGAGCATTTACAATAAATTACCTTAAAAAGCTGAGTGCAGCAACTACAGTAAGCGTCACTGCGTGACAAGCTTTGTACACTGAGCGGCTTCAGCAGTACTTTCACTTTGCTGCTGCTTCTCCCTCAGCAGCGTCTCTAGATGTCTTTGGAATTTGTTTATGATATCTGTGCGAGCAGCCACGTTTGAGAGCTCTGCCTTATGCTGTTGTGTGGGTGAAACAGGAAGCTCTATACATAACTCTTAACACCACTCGGAGGGTTCCGTTCCCATAGACCCTACGTAATGAAAAACACGTGGCCATTATTCACCCTTCACTGTCTCATCAGCCAGAGAATCCTCCTAAAAAAATAACAGTACCGATAAGGAGACGGTGCTTTTAAGTGACAGAATAAAGTATCTGGAATGTCTGAAAAAAGGTCATTTAAAACATATTTTTGCTATTTCCCGTTTTGGATCCTGACCTAACGGCAGAGGTGCCTGCTGACATGGGAATATCTGCAGCACAGGTAAAAGACTGCCTGGGTAGACTGCGTGCCGGTTCAGAGCCTCTTGCCTTGCGCCAATCAAACTTCTGAAGTCACTGAGAGTTTCGCGTGAGGTAAGGAGAAAGTGTCATCGTCCAAAAGCCCTCTCTGAGAGAGAACAACTTGTTAGGAAAGTGCCGCGATGGAGTCCCCCTCCAAAACCGATGGATAGTGGGTGTTGAGCCACAGAAGCCTTTCAATCGATTCGCAACAAAACCACTAATTGTCCAGTTTTAGTAAAATCTAGATGCCCAGAAGCATCATTTATTGCAAATCAGTTAACAAAAAAAAATACATCATTTTTGCAAACTACAACTTTGCATGTAGATAACTTTATTACAGAAGATATCTTTTCTTAAACTACACTCTAGTTTATAAAACATAGGAAGATTTAACACCACATGATGTTTAAATCACTCACGTTAAGGATGTCACAATAACAATGCTCTGAAATGTTAACTAAGATGAGTGCTCAACAAAGCTTTGTGCTTTGAGAAATATCCGTTTATTTGGTGTTCTAATAAAAAGGAACAAGGAAAGTTTCCCTTTTCTTAGGTCTTCTTGATTAACTGCTGTCTATTTGCATGTCTCATATGCATATCTAATCACAGTCTATCTCCTTACCTTTGCAGCCAAGTGAGGGATATTCCAACACCTCTATAAGGTGATATATTTATGATATATTTAAGACTTGTTCATTTAGATTTTTGAAACAAAATCCACCTTTTCTTAAAAAAAAACCACCATATTTACAAACATTAAATCTGCCACAGGCGTATACTGTATTTTACATATTTTTCTTTTTGTGTGTTCCCCACACCTCTACATAAGTGTACATCAATATAAAAAAAGATGCATCACTCCAGACTAACAAGAACAGAATGTCAACGTTTCCGAGCACAGGCTCGGCTGGGGTATCCGTCTGCCCTGCTGCTGCAGCGGCAGTGCAGCGTCCCCCCACGCCTGGCAGCGCTGTCGCTGAACACCCAGCAACCAGCACCGCCGGAGGACCTGCACGTACGGGTGAACACTCGTTGGTGGCAGCGTTATAATGCTTTGTACTTTTCTCAGGCCGTCTGCATTAATAGACACGCCTTCTTTAAAATAGGTAAGGCCATCCTTAAAATAAGGATGTGGTTCTAAAAGTTCAAATCTTAGCATTTATTTCTTAAACAGTTACTCAACTGCAAAAACAAAACCAAAAAAATTGCCTGTAAAGATATTTAAAGTAAAATTAAGTTTCCTGTATGTATAAACTCCAGTTATGGGTTTGCTTTTTTAAAAAGTTTGGCAAATACTCTTTGTTTTTGGGCAGCATTCGTGTTTTGTAGATTTTTGTTAGCTTAGAACCTGTTGTTACAGGTCTATAATCTTGGGTTTTTGATCGTAGAAATCATTTAAATATATATTTTTATATATATATATAAAAAGAGAGAGAGAACAAGAATTTCTATTATCAAGGCAAATGTACAACTATATAATACTGAAACTTTAAACAAAGATTCATGACCGATACCATAAAACGTCCTCTCTGATAAAATAGCCAAGGAAACATTTTAAAGTACGTTTCAAAATCCGTTCATACTTAATTTTGTTTTCCCCCTAAAGAGTGGTATTTGTAGTTAATTTTCCCTTCCCCTTTTCTTTCTCACATCTTTTTCTGGGTTGTAAGAGAAAAAAAATAAATTAATGGCATTTCAGAATCATGAATCATTGCTTAGAGCTTTACATAAACATTTTCTCTCAAATTAACACAATGAAAAAACCCCCCAAAAACAAAAGAGAACGTTCGGTAAAAATCTAATTTTTTGATTTCTTGGAACACAACTGATGTGTCCCACATTGAGTTCTTAACAATAGAACATATAAATAAAAAAGGCAGTGTTTCATGTAAAATAAAAAGTACATAAATAAATACTAAAAAAAAAAAATTAATTTGTCTTTTTATTTTTGTATAAAAACATATTTAAAAAGGATCCTTTAATAAAAGCATCCAGTGTCCTTTTAAAAAAGATCTCCCTTGAGCTTCTAACTCCCACTGAGCATCAGTGTCTCTGAAGCATGGTCTTTTACTTGAAGGCTTCAGGGATGTGTCCCATCTGTGACTGCATACTCGTGGGAGGGCTAGAGATCCCCTCGGACCAGTCGGACACATTGGAATGAGGAGAGGAGCTCGACCACTGGTCCGGTGACTCCGGAGACGGTGTTAGGAAAGGGTGATCGGGCACCTGGAGCTGGTGGCTGGGGGTGTTGTCCAAGGGGGAGGAATAACTGTGCTGAGAGGGTGGAGTTAAAAACTGTGTGGTGGTCATGGGCTGTGCAAGGGAGGATGGCAGAGACGTGGGCAGCATCTGGGAATCTTGAGGCAAGATGGTGTGGACTGCCATGGTACTGCTGCTCACCGGCTGCATGTCAGGCTGGCTTAGCTCGGTACCAAGGAAATTCTGACTGAGGTGGCCACTAGCATTGGAGCTGGGGTTGTGATGCTGTTGTGGCTGCTGCTGGGGTGGCTGCTGCTGGGGTTGTTGCGACTGCTGCTGCTGCTGCATGTTTTGCTGCTGCAGCTGTTGTTGTTGCATCTGCTGTAGTTGCTGACTCTGCATCAGGTGAGGCTGGGAAGCCAGCCGGGTGTTAGGCATGGCCTGGTAGCTCATCATCTGTGACAAGCTTGTGGTGGGCAAGCCACTGTGCAGGGAGGTCATCATGCCGTGCTGAAGGCTTTGCGTTTGCTGATGCGTCCCTGGTTGCATGTTGCCTCTCATTGGATTATACTGATTCTGAACCATGCCGTTTTGCAGCCTCGTGAGCCACTCGCACTGCCCATTCAGACCGGCAGCGCCACCAACGGAGAAATTCATTGGGGCGCTGCTCATGACTGTGCTGGGGCTGGAGACAGGCAGGTGAGAGAGACGTGGTGGCACTGAATCAAAGGCCATCCTGCTGGAGTTTCCCATGGCCATATCCTGCTTCCCAGCCATGCTGAGGTGGTTGATGCTCATATGGGCATCAGGCATGCCTGGCAGATGATTCAGAGGCATGGAAGGGGACTGCTGAAATGGAGAAGTCATCAGCGGAGGAGAGGCAACATCTGACAGGTACCCATGGGGCGACTCCAGGGAGTCTACCGGTGACAACACACTGGAGTTGTCGAGCAGGCATCCTTTTCCGTCTTGTGATTTTTTCCTCCTCGCTTTGAGGTCTTTGGAATCCTTGCCATTGCAGCTCAGGCCCTTGGTGCTCGGCTTCCTGGCCTTCTTGCCCTGGACGGCAGGTTTCAGGTTACCAATGTAGCTGTTGGGAGAGCAGAGCGGTGGGGACAGCGTGGGTGCCCCCAACGGGCCGTTGTGCAGTGGTGGGCTCCGCACCAGGTTGTACTCATCCAGCAGCCTCACGATATCGTGGTGCATGCGTTCCTGTGCGATATCCCGCGGGAGACGGTCCATGTGGTCTGTGATGTCGCGGTTCGCAAAGTGGTCCAGGAGGATTTTGGCAGTTTCATAACTCCCTTCTCTGGCTGCGAGGAACAGTGGGGTCTCCTCCTAGAAACCCAGCAAAGATGGTTGGCTTTCTGTGCACAGGTTCTCCTGGCTAATACCATCCTGAGCTCCTTGCCCACAACCATGGAACTGGGTGAGAGAGACTTGTAACTGTCCCTCATCTGGTGAGGTTTTGCTGCTGCCTGGTCTAACCCTGCTGAGCCATCTCCTCGTACTGATATCAAACCAAGAACCCTATGAGTGACCTAGGACATGCAGGGAGATGGCCACACTAACACTGTATCATATCTCTCACCAAGCGCTGCACAGGCCATCAACACCACCCATATAAGACCAAATCCCACACTACCACTACGGCTTAAATCCAGCAGCTTCAACCACAGCAGAACAATCAAATAAGAATCTCAGTGCCAGACAGGCTTGCAGTTTAGGCAAAAATTACCCTTTAACTTATACACAGGAAAAGCACTGTCTCATGTATTTGCCAGCCTAGAAGACTCCTACCTTATTGTTCTGCATATCCTTATTGGCACCATTCTTCAGGAGGACTACTGCGGCTTCAACATTATTCACAGCAGCTGCCCAGTGCAGTGCTGACTTGCCTGTGAAGGAAGACCGTGAAATACAGGATGCATTAGCAAGTGGTAAGAGTAACAGCAAGCAGCCCCTTCCTGCTGCCTCTGAGAAGGAACGCGTTTTAGTCGCCCGCAGTACCTAGATCATCCACGGCATTGACATCTGCATGGCAGTTGATCAGATCCTCCAGCATGCCCTCCACAGCCAAGCGAGCAGCCAAGATCAGAGGAGTGGTCCCATCATGCATTCGGGCGTCAAGATCAGTTGCTCTGTTTCTAATAAGGATCTGCCGCAACAAGATCAAAGCACAGGAAATGCAAACATTAGGAGAGACAGACAGCAGAGATTCCGGAGAGATACCCACGTCTCAGAGCTTATCAACCCCTTCCCAGGGGCAGAGTCCCTGGTGTCACCCCTCTCTGTCCAGGGCAGGCGTGCAACAGGAGAGCAACTAAGGGAAAGCTTGCACTGATGCTTTGCTGTGCCTTGCCCTGAAATAAGAGAGGCTTCAGTCGTCAAGACTTCCACTACTGTACCTTGCCATAGCAGTAATTACTAGGGCAAAACTGACTCTAGAGAAATAAATTCTCATCGAAGTTATGACTTCCTCAAGCAAGGGCAGGATCAGTCATATGACTGACTCAACACGTAGCACAAGTATACTTTCCCCTATAGATAGAGGAGGGCAGCAGAACACCCTGAGACTGGCGGCTAAAGGCTGAGGTACCTGGAAGACTCCTTGGGCGTCGGCAGAGACTGCTGCATGGAGAGGAGTCCTGCCCATGTTGTCCTGAATGTTTGCATCGGCACTAGCCTCCAGCAGGCGCTTGGCAGCGTCGGAGCGAGAGTACCTGGCAGCCAAGTGGAGCGCCGTCTCACCAGTGCGGTCAGTCTGGTTGTGTAAGCTGGCGCCTTGGTAAATGAAATCTGAGATGACCGCAGGGGCATCGTCTTCCTCTTCACTGTTGCCAGTCTCTAGCCCTCCACCGCTGCATGAGGCGATCATGAGGGGGGTGAAGCCGTCTGGGAAATACAGAGGAACTCAGGGAAAAAAAGCTTTTTAACCCGTCTGTGATGCAGGCAGTTCAGCAAGGTGTTCTGCCTGCAATAGCTGTTTATTCTCATGGGTGCATAAAGACTGAGTTCCTGGTTGGTTATAAACATCAAACATGAATATCCTTCCTCTGATATGGATCTGAAATTCCTTAGTGGCATCTCATCACTCACTGGTTTTCCTATTTTGTCTGCTAGCTTGGACACTGTAACATGCAAGGTGCAGTCTATATGGAAGGCTGCTTAACGCAAACTTTAGTACAGTACAGCATAGCCTTAAATATTTTCACTATTTCAGAAGACAATTTCACAAAGGTGGGGGAAGATCAAACGTTTTGAATAGTTAAAAATCTATTTACTATTAAAACAGTTAAAAAAGTGAAAGATGATCTTGAAATGTGCAGTTTGGCAGAAGGGGAGGAATCTTGGATTGGCAGAGAGAGAAGCTGGATGATTTAATAGGTACTTTTCCTGTGTCCTCTAATTTCCATCTCTGTGATTAAACAAAGAGATCTTATGGAAAGCAAAATGTGATAGGGTCTATCGCTTTAAGTCATGCAGAACAGTAACCATGCAGGGTAGAAGAATGGCTAGCGCTGACTCCTTTACACTTGGCTGAGAGGGTAGTGACAGACTTATTAGAAATAGAAATAGGTAGGTCTGTCTGGGTCTGCTCATCTGCCAGGAATAAGTGAGGATTTTAAATTAACTGACAAGTAGCACAGCAAAAGAAAGGACTCTGCCTTACCAGGGCCTCTAACATTGACATCCATACAGTCTGCATCGATTTCACCTTGCGGTGGGGTAGGTGCCATAGAGGATATGCGAAGGTCAGCTGCATCCAGGTGCTGCTGAGTCCACTGCCTGTGATCTGTCTGATCATCTGTATCAGGGAGCATTGCCTGCTCCTCAAACTGAGAAAGGACAAACGGAAATGAATAGCAAGAAAAACACACGAGACGGGGGTGGGAGGACGGAAAGCGAGTTGTAACTTGGAAAGTTCTGCAAGTCACAAAGCTGCATTTGTCACACACAGGTTTGAAAAGGAGCCTTCAGAAGTAGTGAGCAGCACAGGCTGGGCCCCTGTGGGTACTCCATTCCGTTGCTTCTCACAGCACTCTGCTCCTTTCGTGTTAAAACCAAGTGAATAACTATTGGCAACACAAAAAGGAAATCTTGCACTTAGCCTACCCTGAACTTCTTGGTGTCCAAGGTCTCCTCATCACCCCATTCATTTTGGTTGTCATCCATCAGTGTGCCATCTGAAGCATTTTTGAGGGGTCTTTAAAAATAAAAACATGCAAGAAATTAGCTCCTCTGCAAGAAGCGGTGTGTGACAGACTGTTTCTCTACATGCAAAAACTGAAACAAGAAATGAACAAGGCAATTTCCAGAAAGCTCCCCTCAAGCTGCCTTCAATTTTTCACCAAGTGCAAATGGACCATGAAGCATTTAAATCCTCCTCCAAACTGGAGCACTGTTTTCCCCATGCAGAACTAAAAAAAAATGTATTTTCCTCTTCCCCATTACACCGATATGATGCATTAAAGAACAAAACTCAAACGGGTTCTTTGAGAAGAGCTCCCAAACAGCCCCAGTCCACTGTATTTGACGGGTTAACAAGCAGATTACTCACTTCAGTCCAACAGAATCCTCCCCAAGTGGTTCTCGTCGCTTCTTCTTGCTCGACTCTGTCACTTTGAAGCCTTCTGGGAACCAAAGCTGCCCATGCTCCCTGCGCCGCTTACGAGATACCAGTACCCCCACTCCAATGAAAGCAAGCAAGACCAGCGCAGCCATCACTACATACATAGGATATAGTTGGGAGTTCCTTGTGGGCTCAGCCGTTTCACCTAAAAAACAGTGGGGCACAAAGAGACGCTGAGACATTAAGCTGCATAGCAAACCAGTGATAGAGAGGAAATGAAGCAAAATTAGTTAATAAAGGTACCTAAGGCTGATCCAAATCAGCCTCGCCTCCCCTCCCCCCCCCCAAAAAAAAATAAGGTCATTTTATATGCTATTAATCAGAATTGCAAACTATCGGCAAATTCTCCGCTGCACAAGTCAGCTGCATCAGGAGACAGCTTTACTTTTTTCTCCTTTAAGGAAAAGGATTAGCAAACTTCAAATCATTGCGCTTGCATTGAGCTGTTAAGACAAAAGGATTTAGGGGGGATTTTCAAGATACAAACTTCAACTCCTTGCATGTCACTGATTGATTGGAGCGGGTTGGTTTTTTCTTTTTTTTTTTTTTTAACTTTTATAGCATAATGATTTTGAAATAAACCTGGAATAAGCAAAAATAATAAACTATTTTTGTATTTTTTTTAAAAATAGACTTAAGGAAAAAATAAATGCAAGGTTATTAAAACCAGACTGTGCCCAGATACAATATCTCAGCCAGCTGACACATAACTAAATATGGATAGGTCTGGAAAGTTTCAGTTGTCTCTCGCCTCCATCCAGCCAGCTGCACTTACTTTTAACAGCTTCTATTTTGTAGGGGATGTTCAGGTTGCCAAGGGAGGCCAAGGCACCCAGGAAAGCCGCCACATCGGTTGCGCTCTGGAAGCACTGGGAAGAGGACTGGATGCACTGACGGTTATCAATTTCCAAGTAAACGATGGATCTGTGTTAGAGAAGAGTCAATGAAAAATAAGGAGGGATGATCACACTGAAAAGATAGATAAGACCCGTCTCCCTTCCCTCCTTAACCCTACATCGGTGGCTATTAGAAGGTGGGAACTCATTTCTTTGCTTCTCTGCGGCCCAAGCCCTGCCCCTCACGCCGATGGTCTATTGGATTTATCTGAATGAAGTGAAGTCTAACTCCTTGTCTATGGGAATGCATGGGAGTCTCTGCTTAACAGCGCTTTAAAATTACCCAGACGCTACAGCATCTTAAATAAGAATGCTATACAGGAGCCTTTAAGATCTTTTCACATCAGTTTCGTTGCTGTAACTCCTTTGGTTTCCAGACTTTTGATTGAGCCCATAGAGAGAGACAAGGTTGGATCTGTATCTTTATACCAAAGATCTCCGAACACGTACAGTTTGCAGTAATTGAGTTTTACAACAAAACTATAGAAAGCATTTCCCAGGGAGAAACTGAGGCTTAACTTAACGACTTCCTGAAGTCAGACAGATGGTCAGGCCAGCCTCTGCTTCCAGGTCCCACCCAACCCAGTCCCAGCTCCTAACAATACACAAGACTCGTTTAATCGTGAGAGTTGTGGCAGCATTGTATCAGGGACTCCTGAGCAATCACTCACTTTTCCCACATAAGAGCAAAATCCGGTTTCTATTCATACAGAAGGCAACATCTAAATACAACTATCTGGCCTACATCCTTTTTTTCATAGCGTGTTACTATTATCAACACAGAAAACAAAGGCTGTTCAGCAAAAAAAAAAAAAAAAAAAAAAAAGAACTCATTGATCCCCCTTACCCTCTGATGTCCATCTGATCCAGCTCTCTCTTCTGCCTTCTGCCAGCCCTGGAGTAGAGGCTGGTCTTTACTTTGTTGATGACAGCACTAGACATATCTGACCAGTCCTCTGTTGACCTCTTGATGTAATGCTTTTTCAGCTCCTCCTCATTGCCGTAGTATGGAAAGATCATATACTCTCCCTTGGGGTTCTTCTTGAAGACCACGTTGGTGTGCAGCACACGGCTCAGCTCCCGGAGGAAATTGAAGGAATTGTTCTTCAGGTTCTCTGGAGTGATCAGGACCACCACGACCAGAGTGCCGTCTGCAAGCTTCTCCGGCATATTGTTTGCGCAGTCCAGACCATCCCATTCGCACTCAAAATTATTACAGCCCTGGTCACAGTGACCATCTGAGAAGTGATCTTTACAGTACTGATCATACAGAGGGCTGGGCAGAAGAAAAAGAAAGGCAGAAGGATGTATTAGACTAAGTAGTGCTCATATTACCTATCTACTGAGAAAATAATCTGCGTTTCATAAAGATCTCTCTTTCATTTAAGTACTGCTCATCTCAATGGACACTAAACCGATTGTCATAAGAGGGAATTGTTTCATGCAGTGCTGCAAACTGTACACCTCTGGGGGTGAAGGATAGCAGCTGCTAAATTATGAGCAGCATTTTAGGCGCCAGAAAACAAGGACAAATTGCCGTGACTCAGACAAGATATGGGGACACAGAATAGTTACTCAAATAAGAGTTTGTTAGGAATCTGGGATTAAGTTCCTGCTGTTGCCAAAGAAAATGTTTGGCAAATGCCTGAATGCTAACATCATCATGCTTTCTGGCTGGTCTTCCATCTGAGCTCTCATTACACTAAAACTCACTGTGTTACTACTGTGGGTTACAGCACTTAGTGGTGAATGCCTGCAGGGGATGATGGATCAAGCAAGGATGGCATGGAGGAAATTCACTGTGACATGAGACTGGCGAGGACAGGAAAGCCATCCAGAAAGAGCCAAGCACAGAAAGCTAAGTGGGTGTAAAAGGTTGCTTGAGATGCAGCCCCATATACAGCAGAGCAGCACATAAAAAGCAAAATAAGCTACGAAATAACAGGTCTGAACTTAGCAGCCTTAGCCGATACTACCAGAAAATATTCCCAGATGATCAACCTAGAGGTCACGGCTGTAAAGCAAGAGGACCAAGGTGCAAGTCACTTACTTGCACTGCCCTTCATACTTCTGGCAGTCAAAGCCATCGTACAGACAGCCAGCGTTGTTGCACTGAGAGTCGCACTTGCCATCATTGAAGTACTTCCAGCACTGCAATGACTGGGAGCAGTTCTTCCAGGGGTCATTGAAATTGAGGGAGCAGTCACCTCCGTCCCAGCCGCACGCGTGGTTGTTGCATTTCCCATCACAGATCTTGTTGCCAGCGTACCCTGCACAAACTGCAATCTCACACTTCTCCTCGATTTTAGGTGGGATGATATCCTGCCCAATCCCACCTTGGAAATCAAAGTCAAGGATGTGGCAGTTGAGGCCATTGAAGTTGGCAGGGCAGTTGCACCGGTAATAGGGGGAAGCATCGCTGAAGAACTCGCAGGTGCCCCCATTGTAGCAGGGGTTGGAATTGCAGGGGCTGCTGGCTGGGTACTGGCACTCGGGACCCGTGAAGGCTGGTGTGCACATGCACTTGGAGCTCTTGTGGATGGAGATGCAGGTGCCACCATTCAGGCAGTGCAAGTTCCCGCAGGTGCGGGAGTCATTCTCACAAGTGGCACCAACAAAACCCTGGGGAGGTGACAGCAAGGAGGGAGTTAGGATCACTGATGCAGTCCTGTGCGTAGCATAAAACACTCACGTGTTCTGGGAAACTGGGCACAAACCCAGTCAATCAGATAGACATAAACAAGGCATAGCTCTGGGGCTTTCCCCGAAACTAGCGATGGACAAAAATAGTCCAGAGTGCACACCCTGTTAGGCCACCCCCCTCAAAACAAAAGGGGGGTCCTTCTACAAAGTTGTCTGGTCCAACTTTACACGGTGCAAATAATGGTCCATCAGGCCAGGTGGAAGAGAGTCTGTCCTATAGAGCTACCGATCATACCCTGAGGGCTCAGCCACCTCCTTCTCTCTGACGCTGACCCAGCCTCATTACTGGTGAGGAGGGTATGGAGACACCTTCCTGTAGTGACTATCCGCAACAAACCCTCTCCTCTTCCCTGCTTGCACCTATCCAAGCCTGCTAAGCCTCTGGAGCTATCCTGGGCCCTTTACTCTCTGACTGCTGGAGGAGCCCCTACCTACTGCTGGAAAGAAAGGATCCCCCGGACTGGCGATATGCAAGGGGCTGATTTGCAGCGCTCATGCAATATCTTAGGCCTGTGCACTGCTCACCACCAGAGAGGAGCGGATACGTACAGGGGGGCATTTGCAGATGAAGCCACGGCCAGTGTTGCTGGCAACTGCACACGTTCCACCGTTCCTGCAGGGTTTGCCCTTACAGCCATCTACCACCGAGTCACAGCGGCGCCCTGCAAAGGGAGAGGAACGTGTGTGAGACAGAGGAACGCCTGCGAGATGGCTGGGGGCTGTGCGCTCCGCGAGCGGGAAGGACACGGTGCTCACCTGTGTAGCCAGGCCGGCACTCGCATTTGTAGTCATTGACACGCTGCACGCAGTTCTGGGTGCCGCGCGCGTCGCAGGGGTTGGACAGGCACTCGTTGACGTCTCCCTCGCAGCGCTCCCCTACAAAGCCAGGGGGGCAGATGCAGCTGTAGCCACCTACCCGATCCGTGCACTTGCCATTGTTAAAGCACTTGGGCCCCAGGGTGACAGGATCAAAGAAAGGGCTGCAGTCATCCACATTGATTTCACAGTGCACCCCTAGAGAAACGGGGGAACAACCCACACAGCTCATCAAACAGTATCAGGGTGCCCGGTGGTCCCTTGAGTGAACCTCCCTGCAAAGGGGCTGAGCCTGACCAGGCCAATGGCAGTCTGAGCCACTGCTCTGGCAGGAAGCGCGCAGCACCACACAGCTTGAGTCCAAGGTTACGCGGCCTTGATGGCTAAGCCAGCAAGCAAACACAAACCTCCATCGTTGCGTTTGCTTCTACTAGCCTGAGCAGCTAATGAGCAGATACCAAGGATATCGGTACTCATCCCGCTAATGCCCCAGCCTGGGGAATTAATTTACCTTGAGTCCCTCTGGGGCAGGAGCATTTGTAGGTATTGATGAGATCGATGCAGGTTCCTCCGTTCTGGCAAGGGTGGGACAAGCACTCATTGATCTCTTCTGAGCAGTTAACTCCATGATAACCAGCCACACACTGCAAGGAGGCAAGAGGGGAACTATTAGAGATGTTCGCTGCAGTAATGGTCTCACCCAACCTCAATTCCACAATTGTTCCTGGGATACGCGAATGCCTGATCTATTCCAGCCCCTGCCCTCGGGAGCTACCATACTCCCCCAAAAGGGCCAGACGAAGCTTTCGCTGCCCTCACCCTGCGCCGCAGCGCTGCACGGGAGAGCAGCTGCACAAGACACCCAGGAAACACCCTCAGCCTTTAATGTGGCCAAGGGGCATTATGCCAGTCTGAAGTTTGGGCAGCTCCTTTTGCAGAAGAAAGGCAGTAACTGGCACTTTCCTCCAGCGGATCTCAAAGCGCAGAACAGGCTGTGATCCGATTCCATCAATGGTAGAACAGCCGCAGGCAGGGAAGCACCCCAGAGCCCTGCCTCCCTCTGCCGGGGGGGGGGTGCAGTCTCCACCATGGCACCCACCTCGCAAGAATAGCCTCCCAGGTAGTCTGTGCAGGTGGCTCCGTTTTGGCAGGGGTTGGGGGAGCATTCGTCCACCTGCTCCTCGCAGTAGCTGCCAGTGTAGCCGGCCTGGCAGCGGCAGAAGTGAGTGTTGCCAGTGTCCACGCAGAGCCCCGAGTTCCTGCAGAGATGGGCTACGTCGACGCCTGCCAGGGAGAGCAGAGTGAGACACGGGGACCTGAGCAACACCCAAGCGCCACAGAGCCATGTCCTGGCCACACTTCACTCCATGTCTCCCACTGGGGATTGCAGCCTCGGGGGTGGCGGGTGCACATTACAGCAGTCCTTGAGAACATTCTACATCGTGCCAAAGATCCCCGAAAACAGAACTCGGCTGCAGAGCCCAGTAGCAAAGGTGGCTATTCCTGGGAATACAACCCCAGCCCTGTTGAGGCTGCACATGGCTGCAGGGGAGCAGACAGCGATGGCAGGGAGTTAGTTACCTTGCTGCTTAGCAGCCACCTCACAGGAGACACTGGGGACATCGCAGTAGAGCCCTGTCCATCCACTGTTGCACTCGCAGCGGTACAGGTTGTTGGTTTGCCAGCACTTGCCTCCATTTTTGCAGGGAGAGGAGTCGCACCAGCGCACCAGGTTCTAGGGAGAGGAGAGCAAGGGATGGAGGGTCAGATACAGCCACCATACATTGACAGCCACTGGGATCAGCAGCGTGAGAGATGCTGGGGTAACCAACAGGCCAAGCGTTCTGTACCTGGCAGTTGAGCCCGGTGTAACCCTGGGGACAAGTGCACTTGTATGTCCCGTAGCTGTCCTGACAAGTGCCCCCGTTCAGGCACGGCTTGGAGTCACACTCATTAATGTTGTGCTCACAGTAACTGCCTGTGAAACCAGGTGGACACATGCAGGTGAAGGTGTTGATGCCATCCACACAGGTCCCTCCGTTGAAGCAGGAGCTGGGAACACAAACGTCACATTCCCGTGAGTCACTGTGGTTTGCCCTCAGCTGATGCGCTCCGTGCTGAGGCCCCAGCAGCAAGGCCCTGCAAGCGCAGAGCACGAGCCACTGCCCTTTGCAAGGCTTTGCCCAAGGTTAGAGGGCGGGACACGGACTTCAGTCCCTCGTTTGAACCCTGAATCAGCACAGGCAGCCCAGGTAAAGGCTGAGCCCATAGCAAGGACTGTGCCTGGTGCCTCCTGGCCAGTACCTCTCCGTGCAGTCAGGCGTGTTGTTCTCACAGTGGATCCCACTGAAGCCGGAGGGGCAAGTGCAGGTGTAGCTGTTGACACAGTCAGTGCAGTTGGCACCATTCTTGCAGGGGTTGCTGGCACACTCGTTGATGTCTTCTTCGCACTTGGGCCCACGGAAACCAGCCAGGCACTCACAGAAGAAGGTACCAACACCATCAGAGCAGGAGCCGCCATTGTGGCATGGATCTGGACAGAAGGGACAGGCACGTTAAAATGCAACAGATCCAGCCCTGGCACAACAGCCCTGTCTGGAAGCTGCCCTGCAGCACTGCCCCAGAGCACAGATCCCTCCACCGCGCAGAGGGCAGGGACAGAGCCAGCAGACAGGCAGAGGCCAGCTCAGCAGTCACCTGGGAACCCAGAGCAAGGAGGGCTCACAGGACACACTTGCTCACCACCTGCACATCACTTCCCCCCATAACCTGCTTCCTGCCAGCTACTGCTTAGCCTTGGATTGACGTAGACTAATCGAGGTATGCCCGAGACGTTCAAAACGCCTCTGAGCAGGGCTTGGCCCCATGGGAGACCTCTCCATGCGGCATGGCCTGCACCTGAATAGAGGAAGCAGCCCTCCTCTGCAGAGGGAGGGCTCCTCTCAGGCCTGGAGAGGGCAGAGACGCTGACGACTCAGGGCAGGGCTGAGCGCGCTACCCAGAGCGGCCCATGCCCTTACTCGGCTTGCAGTCATCGATATCGGTGTCGCAGTTGCGGCCGGTGAAGCCTGCCTTGCAAAGGCAGCGGTAGCTCCCGTTGGTGTTCTGGCAAGTGGCACCGTTTCGGCAAGGGCTCTTCACGCACTCGTTGATGTCAATCTCGCACGTCTGACCTGCAAGACAAGAGCGGGATGGATGCTAAGGGGTCGAGAAGCCCTGGCAAGAGCCGCTGCCTTGGCCCTGGAAGCGTCCCACCACTGCCCAGTTCAGACCAGGGGCTGGAGCCCTCACAGCAAACAGCCCTTGTGGTTGAGCCTTAGGGAAGGTCTGAAGCTCCTGTGAGGATGGGCATCGTGCAGGGCTGCTCCCTGCTGACAGGTCACACAGGCAGCCACATGCCCGGTTTCCACATCCCCGCTCTCGCTCCCAGGCAACGCTCCCTCCCCTCTTTGTTCTTTCCTACCCCGAGTAGCTGAGGAAAGAAAAGCGCCCGAGGAGGCTAGTTATGATTAACCCTGCCGGCCTGGACTCTCCTGGTGTGGAAGCGCCAGGCCAAGCCCCGGCCGTGCCCTGGTACCTTGCCAGCCGGACGGGCAACCGCAGGAGAAGCTCTCGTAGTCCTCCGACTCCCTGCATTCACCACCGTTCTTGCAGGGGCCGTTGGCGCAGGGAGCCAGCACATCCTCGCACGTGGCTCCTGTGATGGGACAGACACCAAGGGCTGAGGGCCCGCTGACACCCTCTCGTCCCCCAGGAACGAAAGGCGGTGGGGCCCATGATCTTCTCACTGCACCCACCACCTTCCCGAGATGTCCTGGGCTGCTTCCAGCCCTCGGGCTTCCCCTGCAGCCCCAGGGGCCGAGCTCAGCAGACGGCGGCTGCAGGGCCATGGGACCAGCCTTCTCCTGGACCCCTTCCAGCACCGCCGGGGAGCTGGAGGGGCCGGACCTCTCCGCCACCCCCGGGTCCTCCGTGACCCCAGCTCCCCTCGAATCCTTTGCATCGTTACAGCTTGGGGTCCATTAAAAAGCTGCATGCTTCCTTTGGAAGCGAAGTGCAGTTGGGGGTGTCTTTTCCCCCCTTGCGCTCCCCCGCTCAGCCGCTTTTCCTGTTTACGCCCAGCCAAGGGACACATTCCCCGCAAGCCCTTATCTTCCTTGTCAGCCAGTATCTCCCAAACTGGCCCTTGCTATTTTCCAGAGCCTTCCACTCCCTGCCTCACCCCTTCCCCATCCCCCCAGGGGTTTCTATGGCTACTGCCGAAGACGGGAAATGGATCACGACTTCCTACAATTGTGCACAGGTTGCCGATTTGTGCAAGAGGAAGCGGGAGGCCGGCAAACAGGAATCGGGTCAGCAGAATCCCCCCCGGCCGCGGGCCCTCGCGCGGCCACCCCGAGCTCTGTTTTTCCAGCCGGTCGGAGCAGGTAACTGGGGCTG